CATTGGACGAAAAACTGCTCTAATGTGTCTCTGGAAAACTGCCGGTGAGTTACATAGTCCAAAGGGAACTTTCAAGAATTCGTAGTGCCCATCTGGTACCACAAACGCCGTATACTTGACACTCTCTTCCTCGACCGGTACATGAAAAAATCCGTCTTTTAAATCCAACGTGGAAAACACTCGCGCATCTTGTAACCGGTNGTTTTCTTTTTCGTCTTTAGCAGGAATAATTAAATCATCCAAATAAACCAAAACGACACCACTTGTAATCATTGGACTAATTGATCCTCGATCAATGGCAACGGATTTCTGTCCTTTATGATTTTTTTATTGAGTAACCGATAATCAACACAGAGTCTCAGTGACCCATTTTCCTTCTCCCTCAGCACTATAGGGCTAGCATAATCGGATACACTCGGTTTCACAACACCTTCGTCGATCCACTTCTCAATAATTTCATTCACTCGTTTTTTCTGCTCAGCTGAGAGTCGTCGTGGATGCTGAGATACAGGTACATCATCTTGTAAAATAATCCGCATTTTTACCCCCGTATCTTTCGTTTTCGTCGGTGTGTAATTCTCCACTAACTCTCGTAATTCACCCTTGATTTGTGGATCAATTACGTGTTGAATCGAAACCTCATAGTCATTTTCAGTCACTTCACACACATTGATAACCAATACCTCATTCCAGCCAGTGTCACCTGTCTCCACAAAATTTTCATCCGATTCAATTTTCTTCAAAACTGCTTGTCTGTGTTTTACTCGTACTTCCGCATGATCAGACAATTCACCACCCACTAATAAATCGTGTCCGAGAAATTCATCTGGAACTACATCAAAATTGAATTTAAACGTCAAATCGTCGATAATTATATCCGCCTTAAAACGCCCAAGTGTACGTTGGTTTAGCGCACCAACACCGTCAAAAGGGATGGTCTTTGACTCGAGCTTCGGAGCTCCGAGCCTCACGTAGCAACTTGACCGCACCAGATGTAAGTCACTCCCTGAATCCAACACAGCTGTAACCTCTTTACCCAAAATTTTGACCTGCTTATATGTTTTCTTGTCCCCTGATTTTAACGCGTCACAACGATTCTTCTCTTTTTTTCTTCTTTTCCCTTTTCACCTCTGGTATTTTTCTTTTCTTTTGTACACTTTGTAGACAAATGTCCAAATTCATTGCAGTTAAAACATCTTGGCCCTTTTTCCTTGTCTGGACAATTATCACCGAAGTGCGCCTTGCTGCCACAATTAAAACAATGCAATTTGTTTTTTCCACCATCTCGTGTGTGATTCGACATCTTCATCTTATCATTTTTCTGGGGTTGCTTCACGTTCGCCTTCGTTCTACTATTTTTCTTCTGCGTCTCATACTGCTTCAATTTTTTCCTTAACTCTTTCACCGTCGATGCACCATATAAAATTGATTTATTCACTTCTTCATCTTGAATACCATCGATAATGTACTGTAGCTTAGCCTCTAACTCAATGTCACCGTGGCTAGCCATCTCTAATACGCGATATACATATGCTTCATAACTTTCGTCACTTTTTTTCTTCACATTACCCAACTGTTCATGCACTTGTTTACTGTTCACCGTTTTGGAAAATTCTTTAATTAACCGTTTCTTTAATTTACTCCACTCCTTGGCATGACACTCGTAATTTGCAAATAATTTTGCAGATCCATCTAATAACTTCTTTGCATAAATCACCTTTTGTGCCTCTGACCACGAACACTTTTCCGCGGTTTCTTCGAAAGTAGAAAACCAATGTCGAATATTTTGGCTTCCATCACCACTGAATCTTTCAAGAGCATCTTCAACATCTTTAAACGTCAATGTAGAACGTGGATAACCGAACAAACGATACATCCCACTGTTCTCGCCTGCGTTGAGCCCATTGTTCACAACATGTGTTTCTCGTTTACCCTGACTGTCGTCTTCAGAGTCATTGTCAGAACTCTCGTCACTTTCTTCACTTTCTGAACTGCTGTCATCTTTTCCCTCCAGAGCCGCCTTTAGTCTTGTGATCAGTACTGCCTTCGTGCCCCACGTCTTCAATCCCAATTCTTTGAGTCGTGACTTCAAATCTTTGGACTTCAACTTTTCAAAATCATTTACTTCTTCTTTGTGAGAGTTATCGCCATTCTTGCCATTAACACCATCGACAATTTCACCACTTTTCACCGTTGACTCTGCTGACCTCAAGCGTTCGACCAGTGCCGCCTTTTTACCCGTCACCTTGAGTTGTAAGGCACGTAATCGAGCTTTGAGTTCACCAACTTCCAGAGTATCCAAATTGTCTTCATGTTCACTTTCTTCTTCTTCATTGTCTTCCATGGGGAGATCTTTCGACTTACGTGTCAAATCAACTTTTTTAAGTCGACTAATCAACACTTCCTTTGACCCTTTGGTCGATAGGCCAAGCACTTGGAGTTTGCTCCTCAACTCCTCAATGTCCAACTCCTCATACGCCTCAGCTGTCACGGAACCAGTCATTTTAACACCTTAAATACGCTACACAAAAAATCGAGTGGCCGTCTGCCTATTGTGTACCGCACGCACTTTAACCGAATTCCCAGGTATGAGTTGTCACCATTGACTTCACCTTTAAAATGTCATCACTCCACTTTAAAATATCTTTATTGCCTTNAATCAACTTTTTTAAGTCGACTAATCAACACTTCCTTTGACCCTTTGGTCGATAGGCCAAGCACTTGGAGTTTGCTCCTCAACTCCTCAATGTCCAACTCCTCATACGCCTCAGCTGTCACGGAACCAGTCATTTTAACACCTTAAATACGCTACACAAAAAATCGAGTGGCCGTCTGCCTATTGTGTACCGCACGCACTTTAACCGAATTCCCAGGTATGAGTTGTCACCATTGACTTCACCTTTAAAATGTCATCACTCCACTTTAAAATATCTTTATTGCCTTGACATGATCCCGGACGAGCCCCCAATTTGTAGGATCATAATCATGAGGACATAGGATATTTATTTTAATGGAATAATAAGCATATATTTGAGTTAAAATCGAATTAGTAAAAGTACATCTTCAAATGAGCTAAGCTGCTCTACATCTTCACGCGACATCCGTCCGATTACAACTGACTTACTCTTCGTTCTCTCATTCGGGCAAACACTCTTTTCTTTCTCTATTTCAAAATGCTCTTTCTCTCTCCCACTCATTCTCAACCAATACACCCTTTGTTCCAAAAAGTGACCTCACTGTTCGTCATCCAGGCCACCCTCATTCACCCAAGAAAACTCTCAAAACTAAACAAGACCGTAATAAAACTGTCACACAGCATAAACACTTTTCATTTCACACTTCACTCGAGCATACGCTACAAACCTTTTTCTTCCACGCAATATTCTTCGAAAACTTATGGTGTCTAATATTTAGTCTATAATGAACTCTTATTCTAAATATCTGGCGACACAACGACTTTTCACTTCTCCATACCATTTCAATAGGTTCTTTCTTCAGACCTCAACATACATACACACTAATTCACTGATTCCACAAAGATGAACCAACAATCAACAGGAATGACTAATTGGTCTATACGTTGTATGTCAACAGTCGACATCTGGTAAATAAGAGAGGGTAAGGCAAAATGAACTTTTTCAACTTTGTTCAAAAGTTGATAGGTACCAAAAATTGGCAAGGCCACAACGGAAACACCGACTTTGGTATATTACAATAGAATTAGGGAGTTTTTCCCTAATTTTTTATGATAATTTTTAATTTTTCTTGTTAGTTTTTTTTGTTTTTTCAAGGCCTTGCAGGTTTTTTTCACGCTAGTAAGACCACCAATAAAAACGCGTTATTCCATTTTTTCTTCAAATTTGAAGTTTTTGCTAATTTTGGGATGTATCCGTGGTGTTTGCAAAACCCCAAAAAATGTAAAATTATAATAATTAATAATTTCGCGTGCCTTCGGTCGAAAGGCCGTATCAAAATTTTTCATCACGCTGTGACGAAAAGTGAACTTTTCGGCCCCGCTCCGCGTGCCTAAAAGTACAATTTCCGCCACATTGTGATGAAAAATATTGTTCGTAACTCGTGAAAAAATGTTTTTTAGCTCGTGGGATTATATCATATAAACCTCCCACTCGCCAAAAAACACTTTTTTGCACTCGTTACGAAATATATAAATAAATAGTATATATTTTGTCACTGCTGCTACGTTCAGCCCGTGTCGAAAAGTGCCTTTTCATTTACTAGTAAACGCAAAGTCTTTTCGTTTACATGTTTCGACTTTTCGTTTACTAGTAAAGGAAAAATGGCACAGTTCGGCACTCGCTGAACGTAGCATCACTAACAAAAAATATATTTCGGATACACGTGCGACGGGGTGTTTTAACTCGGGTGATTGGCAGCCCTCGGCTTCGCCTCGGGCCGCCAACTTCACACTCGTGCCACCCCGTCGCACTTGTATCGAACCAAAAGGTCGTATAAATCCTATCTCGGGGAATCAGAAATCTCGACGTTTCAGATGATTCTGAGTCATCTGAGCCTATCTTTTCGAAAACAAATTTTTGATTTTTTTTACAAGGAATTGAACATTTTTTTGAAAATTCAGGCCATAAGGTCGTATAAACACACTTTCCCAGGGAATATGAAATCTCCGCATTCTGGTTGATTCCGAGTCATCTGAGCTCAATTTTACGACACAAATTTTTTGATTTTTTTACGCGTCAATTTTTAAATTTTGAAATTCATGTCAAACGGTCGTATACACACTTTCCCAGGGGATATGAAATCTCTACGTTCCAGGTGGTTCTGAGTCATCTGAGCCGATGTTTCTGAAACCAAAATTTTTTTTTTACAAGCAATTTAGAAAATTTTTGAAAAATCGAGCGAAAAGGTCGTATAAACACTTATCCAGGGGCCTGTTCGTTTTGAGGGTGAAAGTGTCGCCTGGTGAGTGTTTGACCTAAAATCGTGCGGTTTGAGGTTGTCAATCACCTGTGCGTGTCGTTGGCGCTGTCACTTGGTGTGTTCGGATTGCGATGGTGATTCGTCGGTGAGAACATAACCAAGTTCTTGAGTTCAATAATTTTCGAGGGTAGAAAAATTGGTATATTTAATAATTAATAGTGTTTATTGTATACATTCATTTGGCTTGGAGTCTGCGATTGCATAAGGATTATACTGGTAAGTCCTTGGACTCATTATTCAACGTTTATAATTCACTTCAAAATATGTTTGTTAATTAGTAGAAATAATTCACGCAATTGAACAATATATACACTCCAATCTAGTTGGAATTATCTATCAGTTTTGCTATCATATCCTCCGAAGGAGTTGAGGTATTCTCTATTTTAATTTATCCCTTGCGTCTGTTGGTTTTCAGAAATGGCAGAAGGGGTAGATCTTGATACTGAATACACGCTCATGATTGATCCTGGTACTGGAGAGTACATTCAAAACCCTCGAGGACAGTATCTAGTTCTTTCGACATTGGATAAGCAATCTTTTTTTCGTGACCTCGTGTTCACTGAAGCGGCTGAAAGTGATCCAATACCTCCTGAAAGTAAAAAAGGCCCTCCCGAGCATGTGGGCAGTGATGATAGTAATGCAGAAGTGGCCAATCTAGTACCTCAAGCGGCTCCAGCTCCTCGGCGCCCGTGGTCGGATAAACAGACATTAAGTCTCATCAATTACTACAAAGCGAATCAAAAATTATTTGATGATACAGTCATTAGAAACGAAATGTTGTGGAGAAAATTTGTCAAGGATCACTCCAAGGAAGGAGGTTATCATGACATACAGCAAGTGAAAGATAAATGGATGAGATTGAAGAGACAGTTCCATAAAATGCTTGACAATCGATCAGCTAAAGCCACTGGCGCTAGGCGTATCGACTGGCAATATTTCGACGCGATGTACGAAATTCTGAAGGAAAATCCCAAATCTAAATCTGTTGCAATTGCATCATCACGTAGAGGAGCAGCGAACATCGTAGTAGACCCTAATATGCCTGATAATAACTTTGAAGCAAAGGCAGCAGAAGACAAGATTGAGCCTGACGATCCAGAGTACAATACTCATCTTCGCAAATCTAAAAAAACTAAATTGCAATTGCATCTCGAGGCCTTAGGAGTGGAGAGGCAGAAGAGCGAAGACGGAGTGAAAGAACGTCATTCTGATACAATGAAAATGTAGGGAAAAGTTCTTGAAGTCTTGGAGACATTTCTAATTGATTGAAAGGTTTGTGCAACTCAAGAAAGAGGAGGAAGAGGAAATCTGATAGTGAATCAGACTCTGATGATTAAATCATTTAATATAACTTGGATGGAACGTAAATTTAATATTCATTCATAAATGTACCAAGAAGTCTTCAGGAAGATACAAATGTGATAACTTTGTGATTTGACGTATTGTATCATTAAGAATAATTGTTAAAAACTTGTAAAGTCTTCCTACAGTTTCTACTTCCTACTTTCTACAGGATCATAATTTAATTTCCTTCTGTTTATAGATAATTTCTATCATTTTTTAAGGAATGTGTCACCAAAAACGTTTGTTAAAAACTGAATTTTATGCTTTAATAGTATATTATAATTGATAACAAATGTTTAGAGCTCACGAAGTTGTGTAGCGAACGGTGCCTATTATAAATTATGGAAATAAGTAAGAACCAAACACTATTATTATTTTCTATTGACATTTTCTTTTTAATCCTGAAGATTTCCCTTTTTGTTCAATTACTTTAAATTGAGATGTAACGAGCACGACGAGGTGGCAGATATATTCCTACAATTCTTAACTCAATTAGTGGCTCAATCAAATGACAGAGAGTTGAAGCACAAAGTTACAAGTTCATTAATAAGGGATAATAAGGTAAGTGTTGAAGAGAAATGGAAAAAGAAATTGGTAGACAATTGTGTAGACCTCTTCCGGAAGGTTGGAGCCAGGTGAATGAAGGGGATGAAAATCAGGTGAATGGTGATGTTAAGAAGGAATTTAGGCAGGGGCTTATAGTATTTCATTGGGAATTGCTGCATGTAATACATCTTCAACACTCGGAGGGGGTTTGGTACTAGAGAAAGATTGAGAGGCAATGGCTGAATATAAGAAATTTTCTTTTTTGTTTTATCAATTATTGGTTAAATGTAGATATTACAGACAGCTATTGGTGTGGATATTTTCCAAGTACCACGTTGGACAGTTAGAGTTGCGATTAGAGTATGATGAAAGCCAGAAAATTCAAAGCCCACATCAGATTCTGTAAATTGATGGATTTATTTGATTCATTCATGTGAACTTCAACATGAAATATGAAAGTTTTCATTCATAAATAAGCATAATAATTGAGATATTCTTGGATACATTATTTATTAATAAGTGGCTCTTCATAGCCTATCAGAATATCCAATTGCTGGAAGTGGTTTCTCTACATACAAAACTTGTTTCTCGACTGCCGTTCGAAGCTTCCAAATACCAATATTGCATGAGTGAGTATTATTGTGAGCATAATTATTTTTATATGTCTGAATCAAGTGCATCGGCCAAGTTATTACGGAGTTCAATTCCTCGTTGATGGATCACTTGAAACCCCACATCATCATCATTCCCACGACCATCATCATCATCAATATCATCATCATGCATGAGGTTTTGTGTTACATAATCTAAACATGCAAAATGACGATGTCCATCAGCTTCGTATTCGACTGCAAAACGATCGGGGTCCCTCTGACAAATGTTATGAAGAACACAGCAAGCTATTATTGTGGAAGGTATCAATTCTGTACGTTTCATATTTACATATTGTAATCGACGGAACCTTCCAAACAATAATGCCCAACAGCGCTCAATAGCTGTCCTGGTCTTCGCATGTCTCGTATTGAACATCGTTTGCCTTCCTGTTAATTCTCGATGGGCAATGTATGGAGGAATACACCATTGAGTGACGGGATATGCTTTGTCACCCACGATGAATTGATCTTCATCAAAATAAGACGGATGATTTTCGATAAATTCCGAATAAATATCTGAATTTCGAAAAATCCTGATTTCACTTACAGAACTTGGGTAACCCGTGTAACAGTCAGTCAATAATAATTCATGGTCACATATACCCTGTAGGGTAATACCATAGAAGCATTTGCGATTTACACATGCTTGGGGATCATTTCTTGGGGATAATATAGGTACATAGGTCCCATCAATGACTCCAACTACTCCCGAAATAGCAGAAGCTTTGGAAAATCCTTTTTCTATGCATCGACGTCTAGCTTCATCCGGCCAAGTGATAATTTTTGGTGCTAATATGTTGAGAGCATTTATGACTCTAAAAAACGCATCAAATAAGTCCGATTTGCTCATATCAAATCGATTAGCCACAGACCTAGAAACAAAACAGCAAATTATCTTCAGGGAATCATAGAGAACGACTGCTCGTATCATAAATGAATTCCAAAAGATACCTGTAGCTTTCTTGATTGGCCAAAAGCCATAATACAGCTAGAAGTATCCCCATTTTATTGTCTGTTTGACGTCCTGTCATTCGGGGACTTGACAATAGAGGTGACACTTCTTGGAGAAGCCAATTGAATTGAGGTTTGGACATGCGGAAATCCTCTTGGAATTCGCCTTCAGAACATGACTGTACAGTGACTTCTACGAAGCCTTTCATTCTACTAGGAACCTCCAGGAGGGCGCGATTGGTTACATAGGCCGTGGTAAATTCGTTAGCTTCGTCTTCGCTTTCTTCAAGATTGTCGTTCATCATAAATAAACTATAAGATGCAGTTGAAACTGTTGCTATACTTGCAAGATACACTTTGTCAAATCGATCCATTTCTTTCAGTATTTGATTCAATCTGTAACGCAATACATTCGGTTATTTCTACTAATTAACAAACATATTCTAAAGTGAATTATAAACGTTGAATAATGAGTCCAAGAACTTACCAGTATAATCCTTATGCAATCGCAGACTCCAAGCCAAATGAATGTATACAATAAACACTATTAATTATTAAATATACCAATTTTTCTACCCTCGAAAATTATTGAACTCAAGAACTTGGTTATGTTCTCACCGACGAATCGCCATCGCAATCCGAACACACCAAGTGACAGCGCCAACGACACGCACAGGTGATTGACAACCTCAAACCGAACGATTTTAGGTCAAACACTCATCAGGCGACACCTTCACCCTCAAACCGAATAGGCCCCAGGGAATATGAAATCTTCACGTTTCAGATGATTCTGAGTCATCTGAGCCGATGTTTTTGAAACCAAATCTTTGTTTTTTTTACAAGCAATTTGGAAAATTTTTGAAAATTCAGGCCAAAAGGTTCTATAAACACTTGCCCAGGGAATATGAAATCTCTACGTTTCAGGTGATTCTGAGTCAGCTGAACCCAATTGTACAAAACAAATTTTTTAATTTTTTTACTGGGAATTTTTGCTCATAAAAATATATATACGATTTTTCGGCTCATAATTTATAGAGAATTATTCAATCTTTTTCGAAATGACAAAAAAATTGGTCTCAAAAAGTTATGTTGAGATGATTGAGAATCATCTGAAAATTCGAGATTCACCATTCCCCGAAATCGTGTTTATATGATTCAAATTTTTTTGGTTCTAATTTCCTCAGTGAAACTAAAAAAAAAAGTCTCGTAAAGTTATGTTCAGATGATTTAGAATCATCTGAAATGTCGGGATTTCCTATTCCCCGAAAAAGGTTAATACGACATTTTGGTTCTAATTTTCTGAAAAAAAAGTTCTCTAAGTCCTTTTTTTAGGCGAAATTGACTAAAAAAAGGTCTCATAAAGTTATGTCCAGATTATTCAAAATCATCTGAAACGTCGAGATTTTCTATTCCCCGAAAAAAGGTTGATATGACTTTTTGATTCGAATTTCCTGAAAAAAGTAGAATTTTCTCTACGTCCTTTGTTTAGGCGAAATTGACTAAAAAAAAGGTCTCGTAAAGTAATGTTCAGATGATTCAGAATCATCTGAAACGTCGATATTTCCTATTCCTTGAGATAGGATTTATACGAACTTTTGGTTTAAATTTCCCCACGGATTCAAAAAAATTTTGATACGGCCTTTTGGCCGAAGGCACGTGATTTATAAATCAATAGTAGATTGAATGCAGAAAGACGAAACTAAACGGTTCTTCTATTTTGAGTATAGAAAGATTCCCCAATGGAAATTAAATCATCAGGGGAGGGTCTCAAACCATTAACGGAAACAATAATTATAATTTATTTAATAATTAATGGTAATAAATTAATTCAAATATCGTCTTTGAGATTAATTTCCAAAAAAAAATGAAACTTGAACAACACCTTCAAAAAAATCGTCTAGAGCTTGCGAAACCATCAGAGTTTAAATAAAGCAATTAAGACACCTTACTACCTAATAAATGAACCCAAATTTCAGAATTTAATTTTTTCTTTTTAATAAAAATGATTATTTAAGACGTTTTTTAAATGAATTAATTATATTGCCAGGAAGGTCTTGATTGCCTTTGCCTCAAACGCTTCATTTTTGGCAAATTCAAGGAGAGCTTTCTGGAGGTATCCTTTCACTGTCAAAAGTTTTCATTTCTTTATATGCACATTACTCTCTAGGACGTTTTTTTCATTGACTAATTAGATAGCGAGGGAGTCTTAATTGCTTTTCCTTGAACCTCTCAGGGTTTTTCAAACTCGAGCAGAGTTTTCTATAGGTATCCCTTAAGTTTCACAATTTTTACTTTTATTATTTTAATGGAAGTTAATATTTAACAAATTTTTACAATTATTTCCTTAATTCGGCAACAAACTTATCTTAACTGCCTTTTTTTTTAAACTCTGATTGTTTTGCAAACTCAAGGAGAGCCTTTTAAGAAAGATGTCCCCCCTACATTTCAGAATTTTTACCCTTTTCATTTATTGGAAGTTACTCTCCTAGACATTTTTTCAATTTATTCACTAATTAGGTAGTGTTTTAATTGCTCTTGATTGTAACTTTAATAGTTTTGCAAACTCGACAAGATTTTTTTGAAGTGTTGTTCAAGTTTCATTTTTTTTTTGAAAATAATCTCCAAGACCTTATTTGAAATAATTCATTATAGTTAATTATTAAATAAATTACTCCCCTGATGATTTTATTTCCATTGGTGAATCTTTCAATACTCAAAATGGAAGCACCGTTTAGTTTCTGGTTTCTGCATTCAATCTACTGTTTATTTGTAAATTATTAATTGCCATAATTTTTCATAGTTTGGGATTTTGCAAACTCCACGGATGCGTTCCGAAATTTGCAAAACCTCCAAATTTGCAGAAAAAATTAAAAAACACGTTTTTATTGGTGGTCTTGCCAATTTTTGGTACTTAGAGTTGATAATTCATTGAGTTGTTAATGGAATGAGACAATCTTTTTCCCCTAGAAAAATGAAATTCTTCTTCCGTCTGACAAGTTGAATAATCGAACGGTCCATTTTGCCTTTCCCTCCCCTAATTCATTCAATTATCTTAACAATAAGTGATTTCGGGCACTATCACCGCAATTTCCTCTCGGATATCTTCAATTAGATCAACAGTTCCTCTGAGTGAGTCGAATGTCTCGACGTTATCTTCTGGAGATGTCTCGACGTTATCTTCTGGAGATGACTCGATGTTATCTTCTGGACATGACTTATCATCAGTATTTTCCGGCTAACGAAAATAATAAAAAAATAAGTTTCCCAAAAATTTCGCGATGTCTAGAATTCAACAGTAAACGACTCACTGATGAATGATTGTGAGTCAATTCCACTTTTTTTACCGTCAGGGACTGATTGTCTTCCACAGCCCTCAAGATGACCTTGAACGGACAGTCTGTCTTCTTCGATGTTCGCCTGAAAATTTTCCATAATATTGCATCACTTTTTGCAATGGAAAATAATCCATAGAAATCCTCAATTCAACTGGGATCTTATTAAATGTTGAGTCATTTTAATAATGGGTGAGTCCACACAAAAATCTCAAGAATGAAATTTTCATTAGGCATTATCGAAATGAATGAACAATGAACAAAGATGTTCCATACAATTTTTGGATGAATATTAAAAAATCATTCAACTTACTGGCAAGGTTTCTCAATTCCAATTTTAGCTTTTGACTTGTATTTTCCACTGCGGCTGCATCGAACCTCAATCTTGTAGAATCCTAATTTTTCAGGCATATTTTTCACTCGAGCACGTGCAGTTGATCTGCTACTGCCCCTAGATAATTTAACACCTCGTTCGATCTCGTAATTACATCTAAATTTATCGTATTCACGCGTTGTCTTGAATTCTTGACCCACGTAGAACTGTATTTTCCTTTTTCTTTTCTTATTTTCTTCATCTGCAGGAGCCTGCATCTTTAAACCCGTAAAATGGTATTTCCCCACTGCTTAACGTTTTCCGGACGATGTACTCAAGATGGCGGAGAGCTGTGTACGTTCTAGATGTACACGGTTAACGAAAAATGCGGGGACTCTGACGTGGAGGCGACCTTGAGGCCGCAATGTTCTACTCCACGATTTCGTTAGAGAGTCACGTCGATCTGTGCCATCTAACGGCAAACACTTAGGAACATACGAAAAAGTGACTGCCCCATCATAGCATTAATAATTCGATGATAGATGGAGTATTTTCAAACTCGGCGTCACACCTCAATTCGTTTACAAGTCAATGACCGTGACTGGCGATTTTTGTTTTTCGGTTATTAATAAAAAATATCCTGTGAAAAATTACCTACCTAAAATTCGATTATCATCAGTTCGACGCGATTTTTAACTCAATTTGTCTAAAGAGATTCGACCGTTCACTCCAATGCTTGAATCCGCGAGATGTGCGAATAATAGCGAGTGCAAGTGCTGATGAGTGACTTAACCTGAGAAAACGTAGGGGAGGGCGGTGCAAAATAGACACCTTAAGGAAAAAACAAAGTTATTCCAATGAAAACACCCTGGAAAATTTCCTGGTGATCTAAAACATAACCACAAGAACGGACAAGATCCGTCGGTGAAACGATATCTCAATCAAGAGTGGGGCAAAATGGACACCTTGACAAATTTTTCGATTTTTAAAAAATTTTAATCATTTCATTCTTATTATGTCATTGTATTATCTTATTATTTTGTAAGTTAATGAATGGCCGTAAACACCTGAATCCTCTCAATTTCTGGGTAACCCGCACTCCACCTAGCGACACAAATAAAATGCACTATCGCGCGCTCTCACCTCCACTAGCTCGCCTGACTTTTTGGAATTTAATTCAAAAACATGGCGCCGGAAGACAAAGAGAACTCGGTTGAAGTTTGAATTTAGGAAGAAATTTTTGAAAAAATGTTCTCCACGGTCTCACCTCCAAAGAATGCAGGATTTTAACATGGCAAATAACAGAAAAGAATGGTCTTGTTCACAATTTTCGGAATGGTATAGCTGGACGAGATTGGTTGAGGCTTTTTCTGAAAAGACAACCGACTTTATCGATACGAGCACCTGAGGGAGTTTTTTCAAACCGTGCAATGGCATTCAGCAAGATAGTTGTAGAAATTTACTTCACGCTCTTATCGGAGCAATTACAAAAATATGATTGCTCTCCTGATCGTATTTTTAACGTGGATGAAACTGGTGTCACTGTCATCCCAAAAACGTTATCCAAGATCGTAGCTACTAAAGGAAAGTGACAAGTTGGGAAAAAAAACTTCAGGTGAACGATGTAAAACAGTTACAGTCATACTGTGTGTTTCAGCCTCTGGCAATGCACTACTACCCGTATTTGTATTTCCTCGGAAAAGAATGAACCCCAAATTGATGGAAGGAGCCCTTGATGGAGCTTGGGGCATGGCCACTGAGTCAGGCTGGAGTACGATGGAATCGTTTTTCAGATGGTTCAAAAGGTACATTGACGTCGTGAAACCAACTGCAGACAGTCCCACATTATTACTCCTGGGTGGTCACTGCAGTTACGTAAAAAATGTAGAGGTCATCACATACGCTCGAGCTCATCATACAGTCATCTGTGCTTCCCTCCCCACTGTACCCACCGACTCCAACCACTGGATGTCAGTGTTACGAAGCCCATTTCAATT